TTTTTCAGGCGGAAATTTCCGGAGGTCATGTGATATTCCGTAAATCGACGCCTAATTAAATTTCCTGATGTTATATTAATACATCCAACATATCGTATCATTGATCTCCATGCTCCTAATATAATATTGATAATTTCAAAATCCACTGGATATATAGAAGTAAGATGGGAGGAAAATTCGATGATAGTTGTTAATTTTTGTTTCCATTTAGCAAAAAACAAGTACCAATCTAAGTCAACAATTGATATTCTCCTTTTTAAATATTTTTTAAAAACATGTGTCATTATTTTAATATTGTTCTAGTCACACAATTTGCAATACGATATGTTTATATAAGTTTAAATAGCTTGTATGACGAATTGATTGTATAATCTAAATAAATCTTTGCCATTATAATTCTTCAAAATATTCAGTTTTGTCCAAACGTCATTTGAAGATTCTCCAGTATAAGTTTGAATTTTGTTTTCTTGATAATATATATCTATTCTACACTTAGTATTTATTATTAATTGGTATATTAAAGAATGTTGTTCATAATACTTATGAAAAAATAATGAACAATAACCAGGACCTGCAAAATTCCATTCCGTTTGATCTGAACTACCAAGTGCTATCACAAAAATAGTAATTATTTGAAATGGAAAAAATAAAATTTCAACTTGTAACTGCTCAGCCATTATTTCATTGTCAAAGCCTAAAACACTTGGTTCAAAAAAATACGTCTTTACATCAAATATTTTTTTGTAAGTTTCATTTATTGCTGCATTTGATGTTGAATAAATTATAGCTTCCATATCTAACTTACATACATAACCAGGCTTCCAATTATTATCAACCACTTGAATAATAAATTTTTCTTGATGGAGTTCAAATTTAATTCTCATATTAATGCGAATTGAAATACATTGTTTATTTTGAGCTATTTTTGTTTTTATAAAAATCCATCAACTAATAGCAAAAGGTCCGTAATGTAGTTTCTGAACAATAATACTAGGAGTTAACAGCTGTCTTTTATAATTTTGAACAGAGGACATGAAGATTCAATGAAAAGCGTGTTTTACTAGTATTAATTAACACAAAAATTTTATATTAAATTTTGATCAGGTGGTCTGATTGATCAGCAGATTGGCAATTAAAGGAAACTGTATGAGATCGTGCTGGTCTACATCAGGAAATTTTTCGGGACGTAAATTTCCGTAATACAAACGGGACCTACGGAAATTTACACCCAAAAATTTAATTTTTTTGACTTTGGTCGCAATTTACGAGACAGGAAGCGATTTTCTACTAA